GATTCTTTCACTAGTTCTGGGTTTATGGACGTAAAGAGTGCTGTGACATCAAGTGACGCCATAATTTCATCTTCATCTATGTGTACGTCTTTGATTTTCTGGAGACACTGTAGTGAGGAGTTGATAGAATATTCAGTTTTCTGTGAGGTGTCCAAGCTTTTTTGTCAGTTCTTTCACTATGTTGTATTTTGGAGTCCCTGGTAAAGATACAATTGCTCGGAGTGGTATGTCAGGCTTGTGTATTTTTGGTCGTCCATAGAAGCGTGGGAGGATGGGTCCACTACTTTTCATCCACCACTGTTCTTTCTTTGTGATCTGGCCTTTCTTAGTTAGGTCATTGAGGGTTCTCTAAGCAAAGGTTACCACCAGGCACACAATCAAGCAGTAAACATATGCCAATCAAAGAACTACCAGAGGAGCAAAACAAAACCCCCACCCCCACCAGCACTGGCAAGGCAGTCCCCAGTATTTAAATAGAGAGCAAACCCCATCCCATTCTAGCACTGAAGATGTTACCTAGCCGGCTAATGAAATGTTTGCAAGAAAACCAGGCTCAGAAAATCCCAAGGACTCCACAGTTCAACACTGAGCTACACATATTCTCTTCTAGTGATACTTTAACCTTCAAATAATTTAATTTGCTTGGATTGTAATTAAGAAATAGTGCTTGGACTTGTTTTTTTCTTCCTTCCCCATAGCCATTTCCTCATTTTTGGAGTCTCTTAGACACACGATATCTGTATATTGCTTACTAAATATTACAATAATATTAAGCCCAGCAAACTGAAGACATTTTGTTGCAGTAAATACTCTACCACCCCTGCCACTTCAACTCATTTCTGGAAGGTCTGGCAGGAAGGGATAAGGTAACCTGCTTCCCCTGGATGTGTGCTGTAAATGGCTCAACCCAGATAGCTTTAAAAGGAATTAGACAAACGTATTGAGGATAAAATAGCGAATGGCCATCATGGCTAAAAACTGCCACCTGTGATAAGAAATTACAAAGTGAATGGAGGATATATAGGTATTTTTCCTTCAACTCCAGAAAGAACAAGCTACAGTGGTACCTCGGTTCACGAACTTAATTCGCTCCACGACTCTCGTCGCGACCCGAATTGGTCGCGACCCAAATCAAATTTTCCCATAAGGTTCAATGTAATTATGGTTAATCCGTTCTGAACCATA